CCGGCCCGCCTCCACCCGGACTCAACAGTCGCTGTGCTCTGGCCTGGCCCGGGAGGCAGCAATTAAACCAGCTGCTGGCCCCACAAGGCCCAGTCGGAAGCTGGGAGCAGCTGCGCCCCCGCCCGTCACGTGCTCTTGCTGCCGTTGCGCAGGCCAACGCCCTGGGCCTTTGCGTCCAGTTTCAGGTGTGTCCGGCTGAATTTCTTAATCAGGGTCCCCGGGAGCAAGGCCGCCACGGCCATGGCCAGCAGCTGCAGCAAGGTGCCCCAGGACCACAGGGCATCCAGGGAGGTGATCTAGCTGGGAGCAGCTGCGCCCCCGCCCGTCACGTGCTCTTGCTGCCGTTGCGCAGGCCAACGCCCTGGGCCTTTGCGTCCAGTTTCAGGTGTGTCCGGCTGAATTTCTTAATCAGGGTCCCCGGGAGCAAGGCCGCCACGGCCATGGCCAGCAGCTGCAGCAAGGTGCCCCAGGACCACAGGGCATCCAGGGAGGTGATCTGCGAGAGGATGGCGCCCGTCTGCACACAGATGAAGTTATAGGGGATCAGACCTGGAAGAGTCAGCGGGAGAGGCCAGTTACTGGACAGCCGTTCCTACTGCCACGTGTGCGCTCCCGACGGCTCTGGCCAGGCACCCGCAGGGCACAGGGTCACACTGGGTCACCTCTCCCCTGCCACCAGCGAGAGCACAGCTCAGGGCTCCGGGGGCTCGCTTGCTTCGCTAGCACGGAGGGAGACTGACCCCCCGAAGCAGGAGACAGGCTATCCGCCCTGGGGAAGGCTTTCTGGGCAGGCTGCGCCCCATCTGATCTGACACAGCTGGGGTCCTGGCTCCACTCCCAGCGCCTGACGCAGCCACGGCTGTGCAGCGACCAACAGGGCAGTGCCGGTAGAGAGGCCGGCACACATGGGGCTGGGCCAGGAGCGAGCTCCTGCAGGGCTAAGACACGGGTTTGTGCCGCCGGGGATAAAACGCTCGGGTTGGACAGCCAAGCAGCAAGGCCGTCTCCTACACGCTCCTTAGGAACCATCGTCCCCCAACAGCAAACCCAGACACACTGCTAGCAATGCGCTGAGTTCTCCCCAGGACCAGCCACGGTGCCCCAAGAAGAGGTCACCCCGTCTTACCAAGAAGGACGGAGAAGAAGAACTGAGAAACTGGGATGTTCAGGATCGGAGACGCCAGGTTCAGAAACCAGTTGGGGGTCATGGGGAAAAGTCTCAGAAACAACAAGAAGAAAAACAAGCTGCTCCTGTTCTGCTAGCAATGCGCTGAGTTCTCCCCAGGACCAGCCACGGTGCCCCAAGAAGAGGTCACCCCGTCTTACCAAGAAGGACGGAGAAGAAGAACTGAGAAACTGGGATGTTCAGGATCGGAGACGCCAGGTTCAGAAACCAGTTGGGGGTCATGGGGAAAAGTCTCAGAAACAACAAGAAGAAAAACAAGCTGCTCCTGTTCTGCTCCACCTGCCATGGGACAGAAAAGCAGGTCAGCGCTGCCCCGGACGCCTGCCGGCCATTTCAATAAGCTCCCGTCCGGACTCCC